AAGAAAAGAAAAGAATAAATAAATAAAAATTAGAAAGAAAAAAGAATAGCAAAGCTCCCAGGGATCCCACCAGTGTGGCTATGAGGTCTGGTGAAGTTGTTCCCAGGTGTTGAAGTACAGGCTGGCTAGAAGGCGTAGGGCTATTCAGGGGACATGAAGAGAAGAAAGTTATAGAGAGACAAGAAACTGAGTAATGAAGAAAGACAAAAAAGGAAAAAGAAAACAAAACAAGTTAAAAAACAAAAAAGAAGAAAAGCTCCCCAAAAAAACAGAGGGAAAAAAATCACGAAAAAAGAAATGCTCTCAGGGATCCCTCTGTGCATCTGTACAAGCTGAGGGGGTAAGTCCCAAGCCGCATAGCACTGCCCAGCCAGAACAGGCTCCCTACTTAAGAAAAGAAAAAGAAAACAAAGAAACAATTCAAAAGAAGCAAACAAAGAAAAAAATGCTAGGATCCCACCAGCATGACAGCACAGCCCAGGAAGCACTTTCACTCTTGAACAGAGCTCTGCAGCCCCTTAGGAAGAAGCAAAGATGGCATATGGAACCACGTATTTGTGCAAAAGGATGGGGATGTGGTGAGAGATAAGGAAGAAATTTAAAAAAGCAGAAAAATGCAACACCAGCAGCCAAAAAACAGCACTCAGGGAGTCGGCCAGTGCTGGTGGGTGGAATCCAAGCAGCTGGTGCTTCCCGGCCTAAAGACTGTGGCCAAGGGAAGCAGAGGAGGTTGAGTGGGGGTGAAGAAGGGTGGCGGTGTGAAAGTGTATATCACCAGTTACCAGTTGCTCTGTCTCCTGCTGGAAGCTCCATAAAGCTGCTTTCTTGTACCCTCTATTTGCTGTTCTCTGATAGGAGTCCAAGGTGGTGGATCCACGCTGCATTAGCTGATAGGGAACCTCTGCATGAATCTCTCTTCGCTCTCTGTTCTCTGTAAGTTTTCTTACTCCATTTGGTGCGTGGCTGAGTTCTTTATCTCTTCATTTGATGTTTTAGCGTTGCAGGGTTGCTGTTTTCTCTGTTTGGCTTAGTTTTTCAGATCTGTGCTGCAGAGGGACAGCGTGGTGCTTCTGCTTAGAGCGTCATGTTACCAAAAGTCCCAGAAGGGTTTTTTTCCCCCTTTGAAAACATTTTATGTAAGAGGAGGTTGTGGGATGTAAGGTAGAGGGTGAGGAAGGGAAGAATGATACTTCTGAGAAGAATCAAGGTGTCAATTGGGTTAAGTTGAGGAATCATGAGAAGAATGACCTCATTTCCCAAATTACATAGTTTGATAGAGAACTTGAGCTATATGAAATTTCTGACAAAAGTCATATGAAAATTTTGATAGAAGAGATCTATTTGATAGCATGCATTGTATACTGAAAAAATAATACAATTTCTTGAAATCAGGAGAATTCTAGAAACCCAGGACAAAGGGTCACCATCTACACAGAAAATGTTTCCATCAAGATTTTGGTTGGTAAAAAGGAAAATAGGATATGTATATGATGTCCACTCTGACTTCATTCCACCTCTTCCCTTGTCCTGTCTAACCCTTTTCACACACACCTTTCTGGCCCATACAGCTGATTCTGGTGTTCGCTGCTCAAATTAAAAATTTTCCCCTTCTTTTACTTTTTCTTTATTTTTCCCCCTTTTGTCTTCTTCTCTTTATTCTTGTCCCTTCTAGTCTCAGAGGATATATAGGAAAAGTTGGAAATCAGAGGTATTAGAATAATTTTTTGCTCAGTGGATTTTTGAAATTTCAGTAATAAATATATTTTAAAGAATGAAGACAGGTAATGGAGATTTTTCTGTCAAGTCTCCATGCTCACTGGAGGCAGATCACTTTAGTCCTTTAATAGTTCCCTTCTCAAATAAAAAATGGGAATTCTATTTTCCTTTAAAATGGAGAAAAAATGTAGTATCATGAGTTCTTCATTGTTCACCTTTAGAATATCTTAAGATATAAGTCAAGCACTTTGTCCCCATCCAAAACCACATGCAAATTTTCAATACATTCAGTTGAGCCTCTCTACAGATGGAACATTGCAAAGAGTGGGAATTCCAGAACACTGAATTGTGCCTGTGCAGAACATGTACATAGACCAAGAGGCAGTCTTTCAAACACATCAAGGGGATACTGGGTGGTTTAAAATCAGGAAAGTTGTGTGTCAGGATTGCATCCTTTCACTATACTTATTCAATCTGTATGTAGAATAAATAATCCAAGAAGCTAGACTATATGAAGAATGTGGCACCAGGATTGGAGGAAGACTCATAAACACCCTTTGATATGACACAACCTTGCATGCTGAAAGTGAAGAAGACTTGAAGTTCAAAGACTATAGCTTTTAGTGTGGATTACACCTCAACAAAAAGAAAACAAAAATCCCCACAGCTGGACTAGTAAGCAACATCATGATAAACGAAGAAAATACTGAAGTTGTCAAGGATTTCATTTTACTTGGATCCACAATCAATGCCCACAGAAGCAGCAGTCAAGAAGTCAAACTATGTATTGCATTGAGCAAATCTGCTGCAAAAGACCTCTTTAAAGTGTTAAAATGCAAAGATGTCACTTTGAGAACTAAGCTGCACTGACCCAAGCCATGGTATTTTCAGTTGACTAACATGCATGCAAAAGCTGGACAATGAATAAAGAAGACTTAAGAAGAATTGATGCCTTTGAATTATGGTGTTGATGAAGAGTATTGAATATACCATGGACTTCCAGAAAAAACAACAAATCTTTCTTGGAGGAAGTACAGCCAGAATGCTCTTTAGACAGAAAGATGGCAAGACTTCGTCTTATATACTTTGGACGTGTTATCAGGAGAGACCAGTCCCTAGAGAGGGGCATCATACTTGCTAAAGTAGAGAATCAGCAAAAAAGAGGAAAACCCTCAACAAGATGAACTGACACAGTGGCTACAACAATGGTCTCAAACATAGCAATGAGTGTGAGGATGGTGCAGGAACAGGCGGTGTTTCATTCTGTTGTACATAGGGTTGCTATGAGTTGGAACTGATTTGACAGCACCAAACAACAACAACAACAGTGTGCTCATGGATTTTTACCTTTTTAAATATCTTTACTGTCATTTTACTGGGGCTTCACAAAGGAGCAGAGATAAACGTCTATGTTAAAGCTTCCATGTGTAACCAAAATCTGAGATTTATTTTAATTGTATATATTTTAAACTATCTGAAGCTGTTTTTACCCGGTACGTAAATTAAATATTTATTTTGAATGAGTAGTTATTGTGTCAGCTAATTCATAAGACCTAGAGAGAGGACCTCTGAAAAAAAAATGAGAAAGTAATAAAACTAAGAAATAAAGGGCAATCATGAAAAATGAAAGGTTTATAGGCAAGGTCCCTTCGGTGATAATGGCATTTTCGGTAATCTGCATAGTTTCATTCCCCGGTAGCCTCTGAGATAGTGAACTATGCATACCACTCTCCACTCTTACTTTTTATGCTCAAAGACTTTTCTCACAAGAAAACAAAGTATTATGTAGGGATCAATAAACTGATACAGATCAAGTTATCTACAACAGAGAAGGCCAAAGAAAACCTCCACTATTTGCAGACACCAAGATATCTGCAATCAAATTCAAAGATTCTTCTTCTTTGACATCCTCCCTCTTCTCCTAGTCCCAGCAACCATCTCTAACTCCATATATTATCCCTCATCTATAGAGGAAATGACTTCAAAGTTGTCGGAAAAGCTTTGGATTTATTTGTAGATTGGTGATTTGGAATTTCCCCCAAACAAAATCAACAATCTACAGAGGGAGAATTTCAGCTAACAGAGTTTTCCTTCTCCAGACTCTGGGCACTGCCCATCTAGCTCAGGTAGTTCTTGCTGCTAAAAAGCCATCTCATTGAAATATTATACAATGTGAGAGGTCTCTACAGAATTTGGATTTAAGTCACTTCTTTTGGAAAATATGTCTACCATTTAATTTCTAAGAAAAGAAAGAAACTAAAAGAAATGTCACATCTTCTCTTTCCATATATGTGGACACACATAGGATTCTTCTTTCCTTTCTTTTATCTTTCTTCCTTTAAGAACTCATTGTTTTTTGGGCTAAAGACTCCAAGGAAATCACTTCTTCTTTCCCCAGCTTGTCAGGGAGACATTAAGCATATACAACTTCATCTGCTCCAGGTGAGTCTCTAAACACAGTATCTTCCTGAATGAGCTGAGGCAAGGGTAAAACCTAACTCAAATCCGTTGCTGTCAAATTGATTGCGACCCATAGCAACCCTATAGGATAGAGTAGAACTGCCCCATAGGGTTTCAAAGGCTGTAATCCTTACTGAAGCAGACTTCCACATCTTCCTCCAATGGAGTCAATGGTGGGTTTGAACCACCAACCTTTTGATTAGCAGCAGAGTGCTTAACCACTGTATCACCAAGGATCCTAGAGAAAAGGTTTAATGACAAAAATTTTAAGCAAGGATGAACACGTTTTGAGTTTTTATTCTTTTAGAATCACAAATTTCAGAACTGGTAGAGGAACTGGTGACAGAGTGTTTTCACTCTCACCACTGAAGCATCTTATGTAGGGCATGCTTACTTCTTGTTCTTCTGCTGTGTTCTTAGAGTGCATTTGGATGGCTTTTACATCAGCTAGAGTGCCTGTGGTGGGTGGTAGGTGACAACAATAGTATATTAGCTCCTGGTCCCTAAACCAGAGTGGATCACTGCATCAGAGACTCAGCCACCTGCCCTTCCTGTGCTGCTTGGAGTTTGTGCTCAGCTTCCACTACAGTTCCTGTCACTGTGTCACCCAAAACACAGTAGTACACAGCCGAGTCTGACTCTTGGACTGAGGCTTTCTTCAAGTGGAAAGAAGATGTTTCTTTATTGTACGTGGCTTCAAAACTTTTGTTACTTCCTGTTTCTTTGGCCTTTGTGGCTTTTAGGAGAAGCTGCAGACCTTCATGGGAGTACTGCACATACCAGAAAAGGACAGGGTACCCTGTGGTTTCATAGGAGCAGTTCACAGTCAGAAAAGCCCCTTCAGAGAGGGTCACTTGGCCTTCTGTCTGGGTCACTGTGTCTCCATTGTTTCCTCCTGAAAAAAATTACAATAACAGATTCTGGTTACCTTGGATATGATCTGGCTATATTCTTTTGGAGAAAATTGTGGCTAAAGATTACACTGAAATGATAGAACAAAAGTCTGTAAGCTTAAGTACCATTTTACTTACCAAATAATAAGAATAGCACAATCACTGATCCTGGAGAAGAGTTCATTTTCAGCGCCTCTGGTGTCCTTGTGTCTTGACTGCTCAGCGTGAGGAAAGGTTAAAGTCACAGTAAAAGGCTGAATGTAAGACCCAGAATTTAAGCAGGAAGATGCACCCCCTTGTGGGCAAGGTACTAAACACTGAGAAATGTTTACCTTTTCCCCTCCCAAAAGTTTAACCCTCTATCTTCAGCTCTAACCCTATTTCTAAGACACCCCACTTTTAGCTGTCAGATGGTCATTTGTAAACATAAAGAAATGTTGGTATGTTCATGAACCTAATTTTTTTTCCTAGCACACTGCACTATGTGTAAGCTCCATACCATGACACTTCTGAGAATTATTTCATTTTACTTTTCTTTCTTATTTAACCATTTTTAGCAACTCTGTGATCCACTGAACTATCATATAAGCAAGTTTAAGGATAAAACCAGAAAAGTGTGAGTAACATATGCTCAGTCATTAGTGGATGATTTTGAATGGAAGAGACTTATTTTTATCACCATTCTATCCCCAAACCTTGAACAATACTGGAGATGTAGTCAACGAATACCTCTTAAATTCATAAATGAATGACTAAATGAATGGTCACTGGTTGAGGAATTACTGCTACTTGAAATATCAAATTTTTTCAGGTCTAACACAGCATCATTTTAAGAAACACAATCAATTTAACAAAAGCTTTTCAAGAAAAAAGGAAATAGTACGTTACATATATATTGATTAAAAACTGAAAAAATATAAGTCAATATTGAAAACTGCATATGGTTTTCAATAATGAAGAAATGCATCAATTAAAGGTATTTAATCCCTATAAAATTAACTGAGAGCACTTTCTTCTCCCTTATGATTTTAATGATTCCCAGATAATGTGTTTGTCCTATGAGCACCAGACAATATGTTCTAAGACTAAACTTTTAATGGAAATTGTGCCTCAAGCATACTCTCTACATATGTCCAGCTGCCAAGATTATTGACCAATACAAATTCAACAAAATTATTTTCAACCACAGGGTACGGTACTCAGATAACATGGATTTACCTCAAGAGACCAAAGAGTGAGTTCAATCTCAGCCTCCAGGGTTGGTAGAGACATGTCTGCTGGTGTACAGAAGCATCTTATAATAAGGGTCACACTTTTCAGTATATAAGAATTAGTTGGTGATCAATTTCAAAGTAGAGATTCAGAGATCTCTCCACATACTTACAAAACCATTATCTCCAGGATTGAGTTCCAGGAAGTTAAAAAGCTCCTCAGTGGTTTGTGATACAGCCAGTGTCACGCAAATTTACAAAATAATCTTTGGGAACATTGACCTAAGAGGACAATTGAGGTCTTGGTAAAATATTTCTGCTGTCAGCATGGGAAATGTCTTTAAAACTCACAGATTTTTAAGCCATTTTCCTTTCATTGTAGTACCAAAGTCACTGTAGCAAAAGCAAATACTGCTTGCCCTCACTATTCTTGTCCATTCAACTTATAACTAAAACTTCTTAATGTTCACAGGACAAACTTTAGATGATAGGTTGCCTCTTTTCTTTCAAGCCCTACTAACATTTATCCTTAAACACAGTAACTTTCTCTTATGCTTCCTGAAAAATTCACTCTCCATGAATTCAGAGCAGTAGCCACATAGTCCTATAAATAGTTACAAGTTCCATACCTGAGCAGAAAAGTTAGGTCTGGATATTGTTTGAGCTCATAATCACTTCTCCCTCTTCCTTTGCCTTTCTACTCTGTCTCAAATATCAGTGAGCATTGTCTTCCTCCTTTCCTGGTTCCTTTGGCCCGTGTCTCTAACCTACTCTAAACTCATTGTTGTCAAGTCACTTTTGACTCATAATGACTGCATGTGTTATAGAGTAGCACTGATCCATAGGGTTTTCTTGGCTGTAATATTTATGGAAGGAGATCTCTAGGCCTTTCTTCCACAGCACCCCGCGTGGGTTAAGCCTGCCAATAATTAGGTTAGTAGTTGAACACAGTCCTGGACAGAGATGGAGAAAAATGTAGAACAAAAATCTAACTCACAAAAAAAGACCAAACTTACTGGTCTGACAGAGACTGGAGAAACCCCAAGGGTATGGCCCCCAGATACCATTTTAACTCAGTACTGAAGTCACTCCTGAGGTTCACCCTTCAGCCAAAGATTAGACAGGCCTATAAAACACACAATAATACATGTAGCTCAGCCATGTTCATGAGACTAAATGAGCACATCAGATTAGGGGCAAGGACAAGAAGGCAGGAAGTGAAAGGAAAGCTGGAAAATGGAAATGGGGAACCCAAGGTTGAGAAGGGGAGAGTGTTGACGTGTTGTGGGGTAAGCAATCAACGTCACAAAAAAAATGTGTATTAATTGTTTAATGAGAAACTAATTTGTTCTGTAAACTTTCATCTAAAGCACACTTTTTTTTTAAAAAGGGGTGGGGCAAGATGGCTGAGAAGTCAGATGCTTCTGGTGGTCCCTCTTACAACAAAGAGCTGAAAAAACAAGTGAATCGATTATATATGACAATCTAGGAGCCCTGAACATCAAAGGCAAAGTTAAGGAATTAGACAGAGTGGCAGGGGGTGGGGGGAAGATGGTTCAGAAACAACAAGGAGTTGCCAGACCTGACCTGGCAGGAGACAGAGCTCTTCAAGCTGGAACAGCTCGTGGTGGGCAGTGAGGCAAGCAGTGGTGCTCAGGGGGCATTTTCCACACTGGGGGAGACCCAGCGGCAGAGATTCTACTCAGCCATCCAGAACCAGTGAGAAGTCCCCTCGATCAGCAAAAGATAAGTACTTGTGTCTGGTCTACAGCATGGATCAAAAACATCCCCCTTTGGGAAAAATCTTTCTCCCATTTACATCCCTGTTCCCTGCTCTGCACTGGGTCCGGGATGGCTTCAGGGATTGCCGAGTCCCCCAGGCCAGAAGTAGGACCCATCATGCACCTTGCCATTCTCCCAGCCTTGGAGAGGGAATAAATTAACAAACAGGGAAAAAAATAAGCTGTCAGCTCCTCTAACTGAGGAATTCAAGGTTGACACAGCTCCTTTGCCTAGGCATAGGCATAAGAGGTCCACGGACTTTGAATGATTTTCACCCCTGCATAGACTTGTGTGGGCCCATTCCAACAGTGTAAGCCCTCATTACCACAGTACAACAGGGTATATACCTGAAGTCTAACTTCAACTCTTTCAGCTGTGAAGTGGCAGGTTCATGATATTTGACCCTGCTCTACCCAGTAAGCAGAGTCTTCACCTACTCACATCAGGGGCCTGAGGACTGATGGCTCCACCCATGCCACCTAGCATTTGTGATGGGGGCCCAAGAATAAGTGGTGCCCCCTAGTCCTTACAGCCAACAGCATTGGGTGCTCATAGTCTGCCTGCAAAACCCACCTACCTACGCACTCTAGGGAACAGGGACATGCTTTCCTCCTGGACACTTGGGGGTGGCCATCAGTCCCTTGCCTTGCTTAGTGTGTGATCCCCTGCTGCAGCCAGATGCCTGTGCCTACACCAATCACCCATGCCAGTGTAGGACTGTAGGTGAGAGCCTGAACCACACACTTGGTGGCCAACTGCCTGGACACCAGAGCTGAATCCATACAGGAGGGGTGGGTGGACTCCTGGGCTCACATACTTAGTGGCAGTTCTGGCCACGAGGTGGCAGGATGTTGGAGCTTCAAGGGCACCAGTGATGAGACTAGCTCACGTGAGCAGCCTGTTTGGGCATATCAAAACAAAACTAGAATCTAGGACACAGTAAGCAAACATAAAATAAATTAATAACTTATTGATGGCTCGGAGACAACAGTCAATAGCAAATCATATAAAGAGGCAGAACACGATGGCTTCAGCAAGCTCCCAAAATAAAGAATCAAGAAATTTTCCAGAGGAAGACAATTTCTTGGAATTACCAGAGACAGAATACAAAAGATTAATACACAGAACTCTTCAAGAAATCAGGAAGGATATCAGACAAAACACAGACCAAACAACAGAGGAACTTAAGAAGATTAGAGAAGCACATAATGACAAATTTAACAGGCTGCAAGAATCCATACAGAGACAGTAATCAGAAATCCAGAAGATTAACAATAAAATTTCAGAACTAGACAAGTCATAGGAGCAGAATTGAGGCAATGGATGTCAGAATTAGTGAGATTGAAGATAAAGCACTTGACACCAACTTATTTGAGGAAAAATCAGATAAAAGGATTTAAAAAAATGAAGAAACACTATGAATTATGTGGGAATCTATCAAGAGGAATAACCTAAGGGTGATTGGAGTACCACAACAGGGGGGGATAACAGAAAATACAGAGAAAATTGTTGAAGATTTGTTGACAGAAAACTTCCCTGATATCATGAAAGATGAGAAGATATCTATCCAAGATGCTCATTGAACCCCATGTAAGGTAGACCCCAAAAGAAAGTCACCAAGACATATTATAACCAAACTTGCCACAACCAAAGTTAAAGTGAGAATTTTAAGAATGCCTAGAGATAAATGAAAAACCATCTACAAAGGACAGTCAATAAGACTAAGCTTAAACTACTTAGCAGAATCCATACAGGCAAGAAGGCAATGGGATGACAAATATAAAGCCTTGAAGGAAAAATTTTGCCAGCCAAGAATTATATATTCCGCAAAACTGTCTCTCAAATACGATGGTGAAATTAGGGCATTTCCAGATAAACAGAAGTTTAGGGAATTTGCAAAAACCAAACCAAAATCACAAAAAATATTGAAGGGAGTCGTCTAGTTAGAAAATCAATAACATCAGATAACAACCCAAGACTATAACATAGGACACAGCAACCAGATATCAACCCAGATAGGAAAGTTTGAAAAATAAGTCAAACTTAAAACACTGAAAATAGGGAAACAGATATGTCAATATGTAAAAGACGACAACATTAAAACAGAAAAGAGGGACTAAAAATGTAGTCATAGATTTTTCATATGGAGAGCAAGTAAAGGTGACATAAAGAAATAAAAGACTGGTTTAAACTTAGGAAATAGAGGAAAATATTAAGGTAACCACAAAGGAAACTAACA